TTATTATCTTTAATGGTTTGAGCAATCTTTCATTCTTACATCTGATAATATGAGCAATGTAGTTGAGGCTAGCGCTATGCAATGTAACAACCAGTGTTGATTTGTATTAATTTGTCTTGAGACCTTGTATCACTTTGAATGTTCTTGCTTTGATTTGTTTATATTCGTGATACTGGTATGCTGCTACTGTTCTATTTTTTTGTTTATTTGTTTCTCATGTACTACTCTCTTTAAAATAAAAAATAAATAAATAAATAAGCAAAATCATCCCAGATAACCCACCTCCCCCCAAAAAAAGAATAGAATTCAGAGGTTACAAACTCAGGTGCAGAATAGTTCAACAAAATAAGGATGTGGGAAATTTTGGGACTGATAAGAGTGTATTTTATTTTTAAAACAACTAGAGACACTTTATGGTGGGTTAAGTGATCAAAACCTTTAATTATTTTGAATACCAGCATACTGGTTTACGCTGCTGAAATATTTTAGGTTTCATTATTTTGCACTGGATTCACCCTGTAATTATTTTTAAGTAATACGTCAACCATTACTTTTTTCTACTCTTTTTGCTGTTCATTAGAATCTTTCATGTAGGTGCCAGAATGATATGGAAACAGTTTCTTTTTAAAAATTGAGGCTGAATTTTTAAAAGAAGAGCCATACAACTTGTCATGTTTTTAATTTTAAAATGATTTACTGAAACAAGCTAATATAAATAAAAACCCGCAGGCACCAACTAGCCTGCTTGAGTCTGTGTGTAATGGAATATAACTAATAAAACTTTTGTGCATCTGTAAATGAAGGGGAAAAATAGTATGTCACTCGGCTATGGTGGACAGGATTCATATAAGGGCTCAGATATGATTTGGGAAAGTGTATTTAGTGTCATGCTGTGTGGGAAACACAAGATCCTCAGGCCCCTAGGCCCTCCCTTTGTGTGGGCCAGAGCCACAAGTTACTTGGGGTCGAGATAAAAACTAAAATGCCTGTGCCTCTGGAGGAGAAAATGTTCTCCCCTCACAAAACCTTAAAAACTTGCTTGGCTAGACTTTCACAATATGGGAAAGTGGCCAAAGGCCTTATAGATTAAAATAAAATGTCCCGGCCTTGTAGAAAATAAAATGTCCCAAGCAGTCTTATGATGGTGTGACAACTTTCTGCTTCTCATGCTTTAAAAAAATAAAATAACAACAGACCTTGGTTTATAGAGCACACCTAAAACAGACTGTCAAAAAAACAATTACTTGGCTCAATATATACTCATATGTTATCTAAAAAACTATACTTATATGCTATAAAACTTCTTACAAAATAAACTTCAATATACAATTACAGTTACAAACTTGGCTCTTGCTGCTCTGCATCCCCTGTGTCCTGGTTTTGTGTGTGCCTCTACCCCGGGCCCCGAGTACAGCAGACACTCACAATGCTGTTAAAAAGAACTGCAGTATCTGTCAATCTCCTCGTGTTGCAGGAATTTCTCTTTGCTCTGTGATTCAAACCAGTTTGAGTCATACAAACATTTTCTAAACTTCTATTGTGTCACTGTAAGAAATCTTTCAACAGTGAAAACAGTAATTAAGTATATATTAATGTTTAAGAAGTCTAAAGATATATACTTGCTATAATCTATAATATGTATAATATTGCATTTACTTATGATCATTTATGCTCTTGCATGGAAAATTATCAAGGTACTTCAAAAGGAATTTTATGACTTGATGCTCATAAAAGACTGGTAAACTAGATAGACAAAAAATATATAATTTTTATTACAAATCCACTAAAACCCAGCAAAATTTATCAGTTTTTCTCAAAGTAATATAACATATAAATGACAGAGATGAGAATCAACCCAGTTAGTTTGGTCAGTTTCTAGGGTCTATTTTATTGGAAGAATAGAACCCTGTGTGAATTAGAAGAACATTTAGCTGGATAATTTTTGATGTTGTTTTCATTACTTACTCCTGAGGATGGCAGTGTGGTAGAGTGGAAAAAAGACTGAGAGTATACAGTTTGTAGACATGAGTCAGTGTAATTATAAAGCAACATGGAACTTATGTAAAGTAAATAAAACAATATTCTTACAACTACAGTATTTTATGTTTAGCCTAGGAAGCAAAAAGCACAGACTTAACAATTGTACAGGACATGTTAGAAATGGATAGAAGTGAGTTCATACATACCTAATGACGATATGTACTTAAGATATACATATAAATTCCTGCTTAGAACTACTTTCATTAATCAGAAAATCTAGGTAATAAGTTATTTTCTTTTAATAAGTATTTTTCTTTTAATAAGTGGGGCAAAATACAGTGCAAAAAGTAAGGAAATTATTATTTTGTTACTGAAAGTTATATTTCTTTATATCTACTATGCTGTCAATATTTTAGATATATGGAGATTATTTTAACTTTTTTCTTTTTAATTAATTAAATTAACTTATTTAATTTGAATCTTAATTAAGAAAATTAATTTGGATTATAATAAGCATTATTTTATTCAAACAAAGACATCATATTACATACCTAGGCATTCATGGCTATTGAAGTGGGACATTTTTTGAGTTAGGTCCCACTTGTGTTATAAAAAGATTTTATGTCATATTTCTATAAAAGCATAAGATTTAAAGAGCAGAATGGATAAACATGACCTTAAAAAACTGCTAATAAAGTATAATAGCAGATCATCCATATTTTTTACATTAACAGGTCATGGTTATACTAAGTCAGTCTATCCTGTATAAATGCAAGACTTCTTTCCTTACTTTAAACTACCAATTGCTGCCTGGGCTTCCCAAACCTTGGCAATACTTTCCAGTAATATTTAATTTATAGATAAGAATAGTCATACTTTTGATACATTCTAGCCGCATCTCTTTCTCTCTTTCCCTCTTTCTCCCTCTCTCTTTCTCTCTCTCTCTCTTAGAGTTGCATTTGGAAACTGCAATGGGTTGGCTGTGGTGGATTTTATACAGAAGACAGTACTGTTAAGCATGGGGACCATTGACCTATATAGATCAAGTGACTTATACCAGCGACAGCCACGGTCTCCTAGAAAGAACAAGCAGTTCATTACAGGTAGGAGATAAAACAAGATGGGTTATGAACTTCATTTATTCATCTGTTTTCTTATTTTCAGATTTGTCTTCTTTGATGCTATTCAAATACATGGTAATATAAACTCAACATGACTTATAATACCATGTAAGTAAAATGCATTGGGCAGAAATAAAGTAGAATCTTTGAAAAGTAAGAGAGGTGTTAAAAGTCAATTTGGTGTTGAAGTTAGGAAGCATCTGAAGTTCGTTAGTTTGAATTTCTAAGAAATAACATAAAATAATAAATTATGAAATGTAAAAATGGTATTAAAATCAGTGTTCTCTAGATGAAAATGCTGCTTACAACTTTCTTGTTATAAATAGGGCCCCTTTTAAAAGATAATTTAAGACCATTTACTCCTCTTAATTTTATAAATAGCTACATGTTGTAACTATCACCTTTTCTTAATGGATGATAATTTTATTGGAAATGTTTTCAGAAATACAATAAATATTAGTAATCTTTTAAACATGCCATGAAAGCTGCCATTCATTTTTGACAGGACAAATAAATTGATTTATTTATTCATAAAAGGAAAGAAACTTAAGGTTAATTTGGACATAATGAAAAATTTTGATGTGCTAAATTATCTAAAATTTTACTGGAATTTTAATATAAGTCCATATAGTACACTTTGTAAATATTGCCAAAATTCTGTGTATTTTTTTAGTTCACTGAAGTAAAAATTAAACAAAAGCTTTGCAGATGAAAATGTTTGTATAGTAATCTGTATTAATTTAGACAATTTTTAAAATTTTCTATTCTGTTTTATTTAAAACAGTCAACTGTATATTTAGGCCTTTTCCTGAACATACCCATGGAAAGAATATTTCACAATAAAAATTAAAATTTTACATGATGGTAGTTCTTATTTTCCAAAATGCAGTTACACAAATTTAACATTTGAATGTGATAGTAAATCAATTTTTCTTTTGGACTAATTAAATTTGATACAATGAAATTTTTCTTTGTTAACCTTTCTTTTGTTAATTCTAATACTTTCCAATTGCTAGTTTAGACCCTCCTCAGGGACACAAAATTTCTCCTACAGAACCTGAGGACTTTTTTTAGGAATCTCAACTTTTACCAATATTTTAGAAGAGCTAAAAATTTAAAGTTCTACATGCTCTGTTTTCACCAGTACTCGCTTTTGAAAGAACAAAATAGTAAAAATGGTGTATAAATGTACCATCAGATTCCCTCATGACTGGGAAAAAGAAGGTTGATTTTTGAAAGTTCACAGTTTCTAGAGTAAGAAGATATATCAGAGGGTAGTAAGGCATCATTTGCAGTGCTGAAAACACCAATTCAATCAAAGCAGTTTTGAATCAGGCCAAGGATATAGCTCAATGGCACAAGCTCTGCCTGGCAAGTGTAAAGTCCTGAGTTCAATTCCTGGTACCAAAAAAAAAAAAGTTTTGAATCATCTGACAGAATCAAAGCTACATGCTGGATGTGTACAGTATGGTGAAAAAATGAACTTTTTCTTCATAGAAAAACTAATTTAATTGTAACTTGTAGTCTTACAAATTAGGGCTACAGTTTAGAATTTTGAGGACTTTAAAACAGGAAAAACTATCACTAACTTGGTCTGTATTATACAAGTTAACTCCAATGAGTACTCATTTTATATTCTAAAATGAAGTGTTAAAGCCTAAAATCCCTCAGGGTACTTTTTAATTGCTGGAAGATTAAAAATGATCATTTTTATGTTAATGAAGTAATTTATACACATTACAGTCCAAGTAAGTGTACATATAAGAAAAACATGCCATCATTTTCTATATTTGATTAAATAAAACTGCTACAGCATTTTCATCACTCATCTATCATCTCTTTCTAATTGATTTATTTTTTTAATACCTCCTTTCTAATTTGATTACCTAATCTTGCTGCAATTTCTTCATCTTGGCTGTTCTAGATTCTGGTATGATATCACTTCCTTTCACTTTAGACTATTTTTCTCTCTTTCCTGTGCCTGCTGCTGATGCTGGTGTTCTGGCATGTTCCAAAGACAACTTTTGCATGCGTGGCCTGTCTAACTTTTATCCTGATTTAACGAAACGGATCCGTACTTCCTATCAGAGTAAGTTCTATAAAGGTTAGGCAAATAGCATTTTTGAGTTGTAATGCTTGACTTAAATTCATCTATCCGTGCTCAGTAATGTGTTTTTTTAAAAACACATTCAACATGCATGCAAATTTTTGTTTTGTTATGTAAATGCAACCTGACAGTTTCAAAATAATTACATATGCATTTCAAATCATTACTGTCACGAACTCATTCACTCATACTTTTTGTTTCAGTGTTTATTTCAAACTATGCAGACTATGTCCTTTCAGTCAAAGAATCACTGTCTTTTGTTTTGAGGAGTAAGAGCTATGGTGTCTTTATAAATTTTTTAAAAACCTACTAGACCATATGAATAGTAAATTAGTCATTTCTTATTTTGGAAACCTTGTACTTTTGTCGATTTTATAACATTTTTCTAACCAGTGCCACAATATTTGTTTTTAACTAAATTCTTAATTTCAGATATTTTTTATTAAAAGACAATACCCAAGTCCACATTTTCATACATTAATTTTAGGTACCAAACACTCTGAACAGAGAAACTAAGGTCATAAATGAGATGTTGCATATTAACATTCTTATGGTAGCAAATGCATATCTAAAGATGGCTGGAGTAAGCAATTCTAAAAACAGGTACAGAAAGTGCGAGGATTAAGGTTGTTTGTGACTAGAAGTGTAGATCATACTAGTGACAAGGATAAAATGTTTTGACATGAAAAACATTTGTATTATGTTAATATATTATGTAGAAAATTAAGTTTCTTATGAATATATACAAGATGGCCTTATCTTTGTATAAACTATGCATGCGTATATACATTGTATGCATGTATATATACACATATGTTCATACATGTGTGTTGTTTGTAACCTCAATTTTTTCAGACCTCATCAGTTTGTATATACTAATGGAATCGCATCAGTTATAAAACCTAAAATTTTACTGGTTTGTACTCCTAATTTAAATTGCCTCTCTGAAATCCTTAAAATTATAGTTTAATGCCCAATAATATTTTGCCCACAAATATTGTCTAATTTTCAACTCTACCAGTGAACCCATTTGGGGTTATATCCTACCATCTCACTGATACATGTCTTGGCTTCTGGTGCTCTTAAAAAAGAAATTTATTAGATACTTGGATATTTCTTGACATTTAAAAGTTACGTAAATTTTAGTTTTCATAGTTTTATTTTCCACATAACCACACTCAAAAATTCATTTGCATCTTTTCAATGTCTACTTTCATACTACAGTGGCAGAGTTAAGTAGTTGCAATAAAAAGCACATAGCACACAAAGCCTGAAATATTTATTATCATGTTCTTAACATTAAAAATTTATTGATGGCTGTCCTATAGAGTACCATTCTTTTAGACCCATCTCCTACAACTACATAAAGGGTTTCAGCCAAAACCTTAACTATAAATAGTCTCCAGAAGATTTGAATTCCAATTTAGTCCTCTGAAGCTAGAATCCCTCTATGTTGTGTGTGTATGTGCATTCATACGCAGTGCAGTAGAAAACTTTCTAGAATTTAAGATTGGATTTTACAAATTTATTCTTTTAGCTTTATTATATATTCTAATTTTTCTATAGTAAATATGTAGTGCTTTTCAGGTAAAAAGATAAATTACGGACTGAGGAGAAGGAATAAAAGAATTCTACAGTGCTGTCCAGGTTATAAAGGTTAAAAAATTTTGAGAAATGATCAATAACTTTATACTGTCTGCAGAAAAAATATCAAAGCTTTTATACCTTTCTTCACGGTCCTCCAAAATATTATTCCTGTCTACAATCCAAGAGGATATCTTTACATTTCTATAAAAAATACTCCCCTTAAGCCAACTGTTTGAATCTTACTACCCTTATGATTTATTCATATCATCTCTCTAGAAATGCCCTGCTGAAAGTTGACTTTGTTCTGCCATCAGAGCCCTGCTGTGCTAATTTGTTTGCTGAAATGCGTGCAGTTGCTGCAGTGTACAGACATGTACGCAGTAGTGCCTGCAATGTCTTGATTCATTTGTATGGCTACTTCTTTTTATGTTTATTCTCTACCTTTATAAATGCATGGCAAGAATTTCAAGAACACATCAATTAAAGATTTTTGAATTTGAATTTAAAAAATAATAGTAAGACAAAAAAGAAGGGAGTATAACCTCTACATCCAGCACAAGTTATAAGCTTACTAGATAAGTGATAATAGAACACAGTATGATAGCAGGTGCTTTTCTCTCCCATGCACAGCCAGGGAGATTTTCAAATTTCATAAATGAAAGGACAACTAACTTTTGTCATCACTGAGCTCACTAGAATTTTGCAAACCAAACATAATTTATTTAACCAGAGTTCTAAAATGTGAAGACAAAAGCAAAAATCAAGTCATTCTAAGGATTCTCCATGTTTCTACCAGTGGTCTCCATAGAGATCATATAAGCCCTGGTATGTGAAATCACATGTCCTGAAGTTTTCTTTTGATGATTAGTATTATATGTTATATAAAGAAACTAATTATTTAATGCTTCAAAATTATACTCTAGAGTTTGCTTTTTAGAATAACTTGTATTAAAACTTTGTTTAAAATTTAACTACTGGCTAATATAATCTGGTTATATTTGTATCATCTCATATTACTATAGAAAAGACTTGCAATCTTTTCATGATTGCTTCTTGCCAGAAAAGTCTACTCATTATGCTTGTTTAGAGAGACAGAACTAGTTTCTATTAAGGGTCCATTCTATTCTCAGATTGTGTGAGGCAATTTGACTTAATTTTCTATTATTTAAGGAACATTATAACCCTTTGAGATAGATATTTACTATTAGAATCTTGTACAGGTTGAAAATTAAGTTGAAAATGATTAAATTACTGTCTTAAAATAAGAACAAATTTATGCCTGACACTATTGACTCTCTATAGTTTCCACCTTATGATCTCTAATTGCCTTTTAAAGTTTTGTGTACAGTGGAAACAAAATCCCTTACTCTATAATCAGAAAGCATTTCTCCACAGTTTTTACCCACTGTTAATGAAATAACATTTACAAATGAAGCAATTCAAACTCATTTTTCCCATATTTTAAGTGAAGGTACTAAACAAAGTGCTCTGTGAAGGTCCCTTATATCTCTAAACTTTTTTTACGTTCTATTTTATCAGCTTTGCTTTTTAAAATGACATGACATCCTATTTTGAACCTAATGCTTTTACATTCTGAAGAAACATCTTGATTTCAGTCTTCCTGGGCTTTTTATTGTTTATCACTTTGGTTAGACTCCAATAAGTTGCCTTCTCTAAACCATTTAATTCTCATCTGCAAATCTTTCATATCATAAAATAATGAAATTGTAGGCTTGAAAGAAAATTTTCATATTTTAGACATTATTTGTAAAGGCAATGAAATACTTTTGAAAGACATAGCAGACTTGTAGTGAGAAGACTTAGATCAAGTTCTACTTTTTCTACTTATTAACTACCTATTAATATATAGTTCTAAGGAAGAAATGTAACTCATTCTTTCTTCCCATATAAAGTAAAGTAAAAATTATAATCTTTGCCTTCTTGTGGAACGTGCATATAAATGTTTATAAAAGTACTTCTATAAATATTAGATGTTTATTATTACATATGGTAAAACAAAGGCACAGAAAAGGTAAATAACTTTCCTATCATAAACAATGTACCAGAAAGATAGGGCTAAATGTCAGTTACCTCAATGTGTAGTGTGTAACTCATGATAATGACAGAAATTTTACTAATTAAAAGCTGATCATATATCTTTTGAGTTAAAGGAAGTTTGAAAATATTTTTAAGGTAGCAGTGTCTGAAAAAATTTGCTTTTATATCAATTTCTATTTATGTAACAGAGAATTCTTTGGAAAATCTCAAGCCCAACTATGGCTATTTTCTTTCTTCCATAAAGTTTTTTGTTTTAGTTTAAGGAAAGATAGCATGTCCTGAAACACAAAACAGCAAAATAAAGAAGGAATTAAAGAAAAGAAAAGAAAAAGAGATCTAACAAAGAGGGCAAATAAATGTTTTTAATTGAGTAGAGATAGCCCAAAATAGAAGACAAATAAAACAAAGACTTCAGAAAAGAGGGAATATCTTAAGGGAAAAAAAGCAAAATACTAAACTGTAAATAGGGGAAAACCTTGAAAGACTATTGGACAACTACTAGGTCAGACATTTCTTGTAGCCATTAAGTGCACAATGATAAGTGAAGCAACTATGGCCTTTTTTCCATTTATCATAGACAATATACAGATAAATAAATCTGTAGGTATACTGTTATAATTGAAAAAATTGTAATTAACAATGCTGTGATAGAGAAAAAATGAGGTAAGAGGGTAAAGTCAAACCTATTTTTCAGTATGGCCAGGGAAAACCTATCTAAGGAGAAAATTCTTAGGTGAAACTTTGTAAGATGAGACAGAACCAGTTAATAGGGTAGAGTAATGGGTAACAGGATTCATCTCCTGTCTGCAAAAACTAAAAAAAAAAAAGAAAAAGAAAAAGACAAAAAACTTTTTTAAGACACAAGACCTAAACCAATTTTTAAAAATTATATCTGACAGATGGGAACAGCAGAAATAAACCCTATAATCACCTTTTACACCTATCCATTGTAAAAGTTGCTAGACTATAGAAAAGGAGGGAAACCCAGATGGAAACTGGTCATCTCCCTGAGCTGTACAACTGGAGATGAGAAACCAGGGGAGCCAAAGCAGCTACAACTAATGAAATAATTCTAGTGATTTATAGATTTTATTCACAAAGAAAAAATTCTAGCAATCAGCGGAGCTTACCCATCAAGCAAAGTACTGATCAGCACATATATCCAAAGCTACCAGGATCAAGTAAAGAACCATGTAGAATAATTAAAGGAAACAGTGCCCAGCACTTCTTTCTCAAAGGAAATAGTGTCTGTTAACCACCAATCAGACTAGAAAATATTTATAACTCACATCTAACTCTATTCAAAATTGCAATGGAGATGCTAGCAAATAACAAAA